TCTGAAGCCCCAGCCAACATGGCAGGAGTATATTCTTAGGCAGATCATTTATGAAGATCAAAATATATATATTCCTCTGTCATCCTTTATGGAAATAACTTCTGATAGTGTCAAATGGAAGAGTGCATGTATAAAAGGCATTCTTCTTCATGTCCCCTCAGGACGTAGATGATTATAGCCCTCTACAACTTCTGTCCTTTGTAACTCGTAATATATTTTGTCTTTTTGCTATTTCTCCTAAATTCTGTTTGACCATCCATTTACTCAAGCCCATCAAGTATGTTATGTGCTGCTTTCCTCTGTCCTGTAAGTATCAGATTTTTAAACCCCCTCCTTCCTCATTATATGCCCCAGAAATTTCAACTCTCTCTTCCTGATATTAAGTATGTTTCCTTTTTGTTTCCATTTTCTATAAAACCTTGTCATTGCTCACATCTTCGGTCCATGGCATTCTCAGCATCCTTCTGTAGAATCACATTTCTGTAGCTTCAAGTCACTTTTTCATCTTTGAGGAGATTTTCCAGCATTCATTGTCATTAAGGAGCACATATATAACAGATCAGTATGCTTTTCTTTGTTTCTAACAAGATTTTTCTGTTTCTCAATACTCTGCTTAACTTTTGGAAGGCATCTTTGGCTATCCCAATGCATCTTCAGATTTCAGTGTCACATTTTCCATCCTCTGTTAAAACACTTTCCAGAATTTAAAAGTCATTGATGAAAATTAGAAACAATATATGTCCAATGACAGAGCCCTAGGGGATGCCTGCATTAATGCAAAATGATCTAGACAATTGGCCATTCAAGATAACTTTCATTTTGTGATTTGATAAGAAAGATTGAATCACTTCACAAATTCATCCAGTAATAATATAACCTTTGTATAGAAAGTAGAAAGTCAGGTAATGAGTCAAGAGTCAAATTTGAAGAGAATTTATGAGCAAAACATTCTGCTTTATCAGCAGAATCACAATAATGTGATATTAACATTTCAAATTGAGTGAAGAGAGGAGAAATAGAACACTTATTTAACATTATTACAGTGCCAACAGTAGTTACAAGAGCTAAACCTGTTAGAGTTTATATATATATATGTGTGCGTGTGTGTGTGTGTGTGCTAAAGAAAGAATATATATGTATCAAATTAAAAAGCCACTGTTTTTATTACAGTTTATAAGATATTATCTTATTTTGTCTAAATCTGTTTACTACTGTTGTGTCGGAAACCTACCACCCCTCTTGAAGATGAACTTGTCTGCGAACAAAGACTTTAAATAGTGGCATGTCAGTTGACATGGAAAGAAGACAGATAGACAGAGAAGTTCTTAGCTGAGCTAGTTATTGACTACTCAGGCGATTTCTGTACCTTTTTTACCAACCTATTAAAACCCTTTTTATTGTTACGTGTTATTTGGCATTTGTCTCTACTAACCCCAATTCAACATCATAATAACTACCTACAATATTATTGTGTGTGTGAGAGAGAGAGAGTGAGAAAAAGAGACTGAATGCATTCATAGTAAATGATATATGAAATATTGATATAATAGTTTTGGAGACAATTGAAACAACAAAATAAACGTAACATTAATGAACTTGATAAATTTATTTCAGCATAATCACACTGTTCTGAGAAACAATTATATGTTATATATTATATTAATATAATTTCAGTTTCAAAATTGTAGTCTTTAGGCTAACACTGTGTCATTTTCATTAATAATCTGCATTAAAAAATAAAATAGAAAAGTTGTTATAAAATGATTAGAATTGTTTACAGAGAGTTAGGTTTTTCAGAAAATGCTTTAAATACACCACAGAATTAAAATTTACACAGCTCAGAAAAACAATAATAAAATATATACAAACATATTTGACATAATTACAGAAGATTAAACAGAATGAAAACCCAAATGAATGAGGAAAAAAAGCTAAAAATGACAAAAATATCAGAAAAGAATATTGTGGAAAAAATCTCTAAATAAAAAGAAGATTGAATCATAAAATTAACACCGATGATTTTGAACTTGATGAGTTTAATTTCATAATTTATTATAGAAATATTCTTTTGGCCTGAGATAAAAGTGTAGTATTTTTTCTCTGATTTAAACTATGAAGGATCCAAGTTACAAGGACTTTAACTCTTTGGCAAAAACTTCCTCATTACACTAAAGAGGCATGGGGTGGCAGTCATGGGAACTAGATGTTAGTTTTGCCCTTTTCTGTATGAACTCATGTAATTACCCCACAATAAAAACAACCTTGTGTCACATCCTACCACTTCTGGGGAAGCAGGCAATTACCTTAATTTAGGCCTAATTTAATATTTTATTAACATTGAATTTTCTTTCACACATAACTCATATTTTTCTTAATTTTTTTATTTGATATGGTTGTTTCATAGAGTTATTCAGAATGTCTTCTCACCTATACCAAACAAATATTTTTAATTTAAAATTAAATTTTTATGTAATGGAGCACATGTTATAAAATAAAAAAAAATATGGCTAATATTCTAATTCAATAATAAATATATAAGGGTCACTTTCAGGCCCAATTTTAATTAAAAATCAAGAAAAACACTTCATATCAAAAATTCTATTAGAATTATTATTAATAACAAGAAAAGGAAAATATTTTGCATACAAGGCATTTGTGTGCATGAATGTTTACTATAAATGATCAAATTTGTGTCTCTAACAAATAAGTGCCCTGAGGTAATGGCTAATATTTCTAGTAAATGGTCCTACCAAATAAGCACCCCTTCCCTAAAAAGGGTGCACAAATCTGTTCCCAAGGAATCCTTAATAAACGATTGCAGATACAAAGCTTTCTTTTGAACTTTGAAAAAACTAATCAATAAAAAACTGTCACTACTCTATCACTATTACAGTGAAAAATGTTCAGATATTCCTTAGATCCACCGGCTCAAAGCTTCATAGCTGTTCATGGTGGCAAATCATCCCCATTTCCTCTATGTTCCTTTGATAAGGAAGTAATTTCCACTCAGACAGCTTCTTCCCAAGAACAGTTGCTTTGAGGAACAAACTTCAGAGGGGATGCTCTTCCTTGTAGTTGTCAAACAACAATCTTAGTTTCTTCAACCAATATCTAAACCCTCTACTTTGAGTGGCCTTTGGGTCTTGTACTGGATAAGCTTGCATTAAAAAAATGACTATACTTCAATGTATCTATGACTGATTGGTTGATTTGTTTTTACAGTTTATTAAAATTTTGCAGTTTATTTAAGGCCAGAAAATATTTTTTGTTGATTTTGTTTAGCAGTATATCAGCCACTATGAAAATATTTTTCAACATGATATGGCTTGTAAACCTTCAAAGGCCTTATGATCAACAATAACACTATATGATCTTAAAAAAACATTAAATGCAACAGATCCAGATTTAATGGTTAAATAGATTCACCAACCCACAATTAACATGGTGAGTATGGCCACACTTCTGAAGACATGGTCAATCAGGGTGGGATTCATCCAAGAAGTGAAAAGGATTTGGATCTGTTCCAATGAGCTTTTATCCCTGGTACCTACATTTTTTTCAAAAAAAAGTTTCATGGATATGATGTCCTCATATAGCACATGATGTAAAATGAATAATAATCTCAAGCTCAACACATGTAGTTCTTGATATGTCTTTTTAATGTTCTCTGCTTCTTGTCCCAAACAGTATTTGCTAATGTCAACTTCCACTGACATTTTAGGTTTTTGAATGACAAATTCAAATGGCAATGTTTTATTCCAAAAGGTAAATTTCAATTTGAATTTCTTTTTTTAACCACCACATGAGTTGTTGATTTTGTTTAGCAGCATATCAACCCCTACAGGTTATTTAATGCTGAAATCTAAAAGATTTGAATGCAATTTTATGCCTTCAACTACAAATACCACTACATGAGATTAATTTGGTTCGGTTTGGTTTGGATTGTTTTACGGAATATCAAGCACAACGGGTTATTTAATGCCGACAAAACTTTTATTGTTGGTAATATTTTTTTTTTCAAACATGTATTTCTAGCAATATTTTTCCTTCAGAAAATTTTTTTCTGGTAATGTATTTTTTCCAAATGTATGTAATATTTTTTTTTTCAAAAAAGTATTGCTGACAATAATATTTTGGCAAAGTATTTCTGGTATTAAGACCTATTTTTACACTTTCATAGTGTTCTGACCCCAGTTTGGGGGTTATTATTTACCCATAGCTGGGACCCTAACAGGTGCTATCACCCCGGGTCAGGGTGGACCTGGGAACACCAACAATTAAGAGGTGGTTCCACGCTTCACAAATCATACTGATCAGAGGCCTTGCTGTTGGACGTAGTTTATCGTCTTACCCAGGACGGACATGAGATTAAATATGCCATAATAATGAAAGCAATAAGCACTAAATTAGTTCCCCAGTGTAAGAGTACAGATTTCTAATAAGTCGCCTAGGCACTTTTTGATTTTTTTCATACTAAAGTTCTCACAATGCAAAACTCAAGAGCTACTCAATGTAGAGGGATATTGTTAAAATGGTTATGATGTATAAAGTGTGTGATATGAATGAAAAAGGTGGTAGGATAAGGAGGATAGATAATGAATGACCTTTGACTAGAAAAGGTTAAGATTGTAGTGTTCAGGGAAGCATCTACACAGTAGTCTACTTATTTAATCATTTATGGCAAGGTCCAGATTTCTAACTGGCACTTTTTTAAAATACTAAAATTTACAAAATACAAAGCTTGAGAGCCTCTCAAGGTAGAGAGTTACTATTAAAATGGTTATGATGAATGAAAGATGAGGTGGTAGGAAGTGAAAATTATGAGGATAAGGAGGATAGATAATTATTCACCCTTGACTTAAAGAGGTTAAGATTGTATTGCTCAGGGAAGCATTCACATGAAAGTCTGTTCCATTTATTCAGTCACTTATGGTATATGTTTATTTTGCAATATAAAAGTGCAGTCTGTGTATGAATAACAAATCAGTAATTTTACTTACCAATCAGATGAAGCACTTCAAGCGACGACAAGCAGCTGTAAATTCTTCGCATGAACCCTTCTAGAAAGATGACTTCCGACAGACAAAGGCAGAGGCTCCGAAGGTTGCAGGGGAAGGCATTCAGGTCATTAAAATCATGCAATTGCATGGCATTGGAAAAGTCCAGAGTCATATATCTAAGGTTTGGGCATTTATTGGCAAGATCATGTAGCACAGGGGCTGTGATCAGCTCACAAGGGAGCTCGATGTAGCGGAGGGTGTTGCCAAAGCGAATGTTTATTAAGGCCAACAGTGCTTCAATACTGTTAATGTGCAGCCCAGAGAATTCGGGGCGTAAGGAGACAGCTTGCCACAGGCGACTGTCGTAGGCTATGAGGCGCCATCGTTTACACACTCGTGCTATTTTGCCCAGCTCCTTGTGTTTAAGGAACGAAAAGATTTGTAGGAGGATTTTGTCTGGCATCTCACTGATAAGGATGCTCTGTAAAAGGAAAGAAATAAACAATTATAGAAACAAATTAAGTCATTAATTTATACATATTTTTAAAAGAATGTATGGTACAGCTAAGTGTATGCAAAAATAAGCAAAAAAAAAACAGTAGAAATTCTAAAAGGAAAACAAAATAAAAGACAAAAAACTTTAAATATTTTTGGAAAAAAATATATTTCTGATGTACTATGATCCCATAAGTAATCAAAGATAGCATCCTCCTCCCAATAATCCTCATAGAAAGGAAATTGGAAAACAACCCACTAGAGGGTTGTGTGAGTCTTGCAGACATACTACCATGACTCTCCAGTAGGTTGTATGAGAGCCAATGTGTTAAAAACTTAAACTCATTTTAAACAGCCTGGTATTATGATATTGTTTAATTTCCTTCCACTTCCTCAATTTTCATTTGTGTTTCACAAAATCTATATTGAAAGATTATCTACAATGTATTTAAAACATCTTTGTCCATAAAATACATAAGATTTTTGTTCTGATATATCATGTTTTTATATAAGAATGCAAATAAATTCTAGTCTAAGAACTTAACAAGGGTCTATTGCATGGTTGAAGAGGTTCCTTAACATGCAGAATATTTTATTTAAAAGAAAGAATATTAGCCCCATGTCTCAGTAATTATATTCCTTCTACTACTACTAATATTTGCTGCATCCCTTCAGGACATAGGTGATCATGACTCTCCACAACTTTATATCATGTGTGACTTTTAGCAGTTTATCTCCCTTTGCTAAGGCCTCTGCCTCCTGTTCCACATCCATTTACACATGCTCATCAGGTAAGTGGCTTGCTTGCTTCCTTCCTTCTATCTCTCTTGCCATCAATATACCCTATAAAGATGAAGTTTTCCAAGGCCACCTTCATTATGTGACCAAGGAATTCCAGCTGACTTTTCCTAATTCTGAAAAGAAGTATTCTTTCTGTTGCCATTTTTTTAAGACACCCTTGTTGCTTACTCTCTCCATCCGTGGAATTTTCAGTATCCTTCTGCAGAATCACATTTCTCTGCTGCTTCTAGTTTTTTTTCCTTATCCTTAGGGAAATTGTCCAAAATTCACTGTCATATAAGAGGATGGATGCCACCATTTTACTACAAATAATATAACAGTCATATAATCTGGTTCAGCTGAAGAGGTAGAAAAGTAACTTGACATTTAATGTTTCAAGTTTTCAATACCAAACTTTTCTATTTTCTATGGGATATATGGCCTAGCGGATAAATGCATTGGTTAAGAGTATCTAGTTACCTTTCAGGTGCGAGTTCAATCTCTGAGTTTGGTAGTCATATACCCAGGTTCAGTTGCAAGTGGCATGACATGGCCGAATTATCTAAGAAGAATTAACTGGAATAAGATATTCTCTAGTATGAATGACAAAATCAGAATCTATCTCTCTGGATTTAATAAAGGGTCTGGGTTGAAATACCCAGAAAGTTCATAGACAATTGAAAAAGTTTATGAAGTACGACAATGCAAATATTTTGAATAGAAAAACCAAAATGGTAAAACTGGTTCAAGTAAATCAGTGTATAATACATCAAAGTAATTTTCATTTCTTTCCCAAAGTCCATTCTGTTCCATAAAAAATGGTTAAAGTAAGTAATTAATTTTGAAAACTGTCTTTGTTAAGTAATGGCCAATATATATAACCATAAACTATAGAGTATTTCATCATTATACAGTGATTTTCCAAGCGTAAGCTTAGATGTAACACAAAGGCCGAAATTAGGGCGCACCCAGTGAGATTTCATCATTATAAATGTACTTCATCATTTTCCCAGAATACAATGGTAATAGTAATATTAGCCATTTCCCTATAAGGAAAGCATTTAGCATTCATTGACTGAACAGCCAGTGCTGCTTTCAATTGAAATTTATCAAATCTTTTTCTTAAAACAATTTTTCAGGAAAATAGGTTTCTCAAGTCCAGTAGCTGTTATCGCTCTTTCCAGTATTGATGGGGGTTTCCTTCTTAACCTTTTATTTCAAGTAGTGTGGAATGTCAACATTTTGATTATGACATTATTTTCTCTTCAATTTACATGTACTATCCATTTTAACTGTTGATAATTCTCAAGTGATATGTTTTCTGCTATTTGCTAAAGTTCTATTTGGCAAAGTTGTGATTTTGTTGTGCCAGTTCACAATATTCAAAGAATGATGATCTTTGCCAAGACCCACAGGCTTCACTCACTCAAAGCCATTTTTAACCACTGAAAGTTAGATATTTCTGAATGAGTTTGGTGTCATGCATGATATCTATATGAAAGTCTTGAACAGATGTGTTTATTTAGAAACTTGATTTGAGTTTTCAAGTTAATATTTGGGTTTTGTAGTAATTTATGTTGTTGGATGAAACTAGCTCTGGAACAGCTTATTCTATGTGGGCATTAATTAAATAAACTGGTCCATAAAAGAATAGGGAAACATTTCACTTGAAATAATTTTTTACATTATCATTTTTTATACTTTCCTTTGGCTGCAATATTTTTCAGGTGGTTGATTTTTCACTGTATATCTATTATGAATAGGAACCTCACTTCTAAATTGGTAACTAATTAATATTATTTGATTCTGACAAGGTTTAAATAATGCTAATCTAAAAAAATTATTTCCAAAATCATTTTTCCTATTAGTTGCAAGTGGACCAATTTATTTAACTAGTGCCAGTAATAAGAAACAACTTCACTATTATTTCCAGGATGTCAGTGTAGTTCATAGATAATAAATGAAAGGAGTTTTTGAAGAGCTATGGTTGTCTATGTCTTGAAAGTATTGGTCATCAGGTCTACAGTTGATCTAAAATTAGGTATTTCAACTAAAATATTCAATAAACAACAGTTTATATGATAAAAATATTTAACTCTTTATTACACTGAATATAACCATAAACTATAGAGTATTTCATCATTATAAATGTACTTCATTTTCCCAGAATACAATGGTAATAGTAATATTAGCCATTTCCCTATAAGGAAACCATTTAGCATTCATTGACTGAACAGCCAGTGCTGCTTTCAAATTGAAATTTATCAAATCTTTCTCTTAAAACAATTTTTCAGGAAAATAGGTTTCTCAAGTCCAGTAGCTGTTATCGCTCTTTCCAGTATTGATGGGGGTTTCCTTCTTAACCTTTTATTTCAAGTAGTGTGGAATGTCAACATTTTGAATATGACATTATTTTCTCTTCAATTTACATGTACTATCCATTTTAGTTCATGCTGTTAATAGTCGTCAAGTTTTGTGGTTTCTGCTATTTGGTACATTTCTTTGCCAGTCCACAATATTAAAAGAATGATTGTCTTTTCCAAGACCCACAGGATTCACTCTAAGCCATTTTTAACCATTGATCATTGAAAAAAGTTGTATACAGCTGACAGTTTAGATATTTCTGAACAGGTTTGGCAGGATGCATAATATCAATATGGAAGTCTTGAACAGATGTGGCTATTTAAGAAACTGAATTGAGTTTTCAGGTAAATGTTTTTGTTTTGCACCAACTTGAAGTGTTGGATGAAAGTATCTCTAGTGCACCCTATTCTATGCTCAATTTCCTTATCTCCTATTAAGTTTATTCAATGAGATTATATTCATTATTCAGTCACTTCATCAATCAATCCCATTGCATTAATCTGACAACTTTAAGTCACTGAACCTGATTCCTCCAATTGGGAGCTCCTTGAAAACAATGATTGGCATGTATCAGATGTAGAAAATTTCATCATTTTTTTTAAGAACCCAACAGAATGCATTCAATTGATTTTCTCACTTAATACAAAGCCATTTAACAATATTTTTAAGGAGGTTTGCAGCTTGTTGGCACATCATTTTAGAAACATTAAATGAGGGCAGAGGAATAAGAATACTATTTATCACAGGAGTATTCAATTAACCTTGATAGCCAAAATGCACAGAATGGGACAATTGGGTTCAGCAGTTTACTGGCATTTTGGTACTGGCTAATTTGGTGCCAGACTTTTAGGCACCAAACTTTTGGACACTAGAAAACACTGTTAATTGAATCATCATCATTCAAAAGTAGAACTTAAAAACATTTTGAAAGTGTAGCTTTATTGAAAAATAAATACATCAAATCTGTTAATCACTAAAAACTGTAATGTAGTTTTATTTAGATCATTTGGTAATTATGAGAAAGGCTCCTCAAGTACATGATAGTAGCCATGTTTTCAAATCTAAGAACAGTTTTATCTCATCTTCTATCTCCCTCTCTATTTTTGAGCATTTGTTTCTTGGTGCCCAAAATTCTGGCACCAAATCAATTGGTACCCAAACTGTTACACTAAAACATACCAAACTGCCAAAAAAAACTTTGAATTACCATTTTTCTTTAGATGATACAAGCAGCACATAAGCTAAAATTCCACATTTTTTACCAATTGTCTTGCTATGAGTTTTCAGATTCTACCAACTGATATAATGTAAAACATTTTTCCCTTTTTATCCTTTTACTGCTTCAATTTTTTTATATATTCACCAACAATAAAAAAAATTCTACAAACAGTGACTGCAGCAAAATCCTTATCTACCCAGTTTTATGTATTTGCACAGCATATTGAAATACTGTTCAGAAATACACTTATTCCTTGAAACTTGAATATAAAAAAATTATAAAATAATACTTTTAAATATGGTTTTCTTGATGCTATAAAAACCAAGTTTCTGCAAAAAGAGGGCATTTTTACCTTCTCAAACTAAACCAGAGAATGTGCAGGTGAGTGTAATGGATATTGGCTGTGGAAAATTGAATCAGAGAGCTAAATTCTAGGTTATTCTGTTGCAGTCACTAAGGAGGGCATAAATTCATCTCTGGCAGGATAAAAATGGATTGAAGCCTTTCCTGATGAAATTAATGTAAAACTGACTGCAACAGATTACAATTTGAACTTAGTTGCTGATTCCACTTTGATATCTGCTACACTACCCATACATTATTAA